GCCGTTAAAATCCAGGTGAAGAGGATGAACACGGAGCTCGCCATCATACCGGGTGGATTAACCAAAGAACTCCAACCACTGGACATCGGGGTGAACCGGTCCTCCAAAGCGAAAGTCCGAGCACCGTGGGAGTGCTGGATGACTGATGGCGAACACACGTTCACCAAGATGGGCAGGCAGCGCCGATCGACTTGCCACCATCTGTGAGTGGATCGCTGATGCTGTTGTTCGAGCTGTGAATGAGAGGAATAAAGTTTGATTTTGATCTAACTCCTTTGTTTGGCTTATTGTACCAAGTACGCACTAATAGGTGGGGTAAGACTTCTCTGCTCGGCTCCCGGGTCATTACAGCCACACAGTGGCTGCACATAATGCTTTATCTCTGGTCGACTCGGCTCCTCTGTCCTGCAGTGGTAAGCGGGGCTTAGCGCTGAGTTCAGTCAGTCATGCCATTACCAGAGTTTAAATCTTCCCTCTTGCTGCTAAAAGCACCCGTGCATTAAATTGGGACTAAATGTTACTTTAATAATGAGAAATTTATTTTTTAGTATAGATAATGAGTGGAGTAACATTTGACTTTGATCTGATTGCCCAATTTGCCTTAACTGTGCCGACCGGGACGCTCGTTTGCTTTGCTGGGTACGCCCTATAATCAGGTGAGCCTTATGGGCTCGACACACGGGAGGCGACAAATGACCACAATCAGCGAAATTTGTCGCTGTCGCTTTTATTACCTGACACACGGGAGGCGACCCGCGGCAGCGGCTAGCGGCAAAGCCATCTACGCGTTCTGTTCCAGGGCGAAATTGAAACTTCCGTTGTTTTGCTTGGCTGTGTCAGGTTGGAGGGAATTAAGGTTATTTAAGCGGTTTAGAGTTAATAAAGCGGTGGATATGGTGTTTCACAAGGTGCTGCAAGAGTCTTACTTCTGATTTTATTATATAAAACACAATTATAATCAACTTCTCCTTCATGTTTGCTCGGAGATGTGCGGAGCATCCTGTCCGCTCATTGGTCAGTGAATGAAACCTCTGTTGATTGGTCCTCGTCCGAGCGACAGCGATGAAAAGTTGAAAATGTTTCAACTTTCTGGGATCGCGTCGCTGGGTCGTCCGTGCACGACACGTGCACGAGCGCAAAATTTCACACGCACGTTTTTTGCGTTTCGCTTAGTAGGAGGGAGACCCGCGATTATCGCTTTGTCCCGCATGTCTCATTGAAAATGAATGGAGGAGAGGCGATGTCGCCTCCCGTATGTCGAGCCCATTATGTGCGGACCAAACCTTTAACTAGGACGCTGATTGGCTGTGTGCCTTATAATTGGGTGAGCCTTACTGTGCGGAAAATACGGTAGTCATCTTCGTCCAACAGGGCTCCAGCATCAACAAATTCAACACTCTCAATGCTTTCCTCCTCCTCTTCATCATCATCTTTTTGGCCACCATCATCTTCTTCTTCAATACCTTACCCTACAGATTCAGGATGGTTGTTGTTGTCAGTCTGCCCATACACTCTGAAGGCTTTCAGGAAGTTTGAGCCGTTGTCAGTTGTGGTGTGAACGATCTTCTCTCTGATGTTGAATTCTGTGTGGATATCATTTATGGCACCATCCAGGGCAGAAAATGTATGCAACCCTTTAAGTTGCTTGCCTGCCAGGGCAGCACAGAATCTTTGCATGGTCTCTGGGTTAAACCATTGTGCAGTAACACCAATGAAACTGCGATGGTGTGCTGTCCAGCAGTCTGTTGTTGCTATGAACTCAGTTTCACTAAGGTCAGCTTTCACTTTTCTTTTCATTTCTGCAGATGCCTTTGTGACTTTGTTTAAAACAGTGTTGTGTGTCATGACATTTATATTTGGCTGAAGATGCTCCACAAGATCAATGAAGCCCTGTTGCTGAACAATGTGTGGTGGGTGCAAGCCTTGGACAGTGAATTTGAGGACTACTTTATCCACTTTCCTGGGACACTCTTCGAGTTTCCCACAGCTTGCTTTGCTTGGAGGGTGTGGGCAAAAAAACTTCTGTGGATGACTTACTTTTGAGAGCGACTTTAGTAAGTTGCGTGTACCTCTCTAGACGAGTGGGGTGTTCCTTCTGTGGAGAAAATGAATGCACAGACATAGATTGAGGTTCATAAGGAGCATTTTCACTGGTCTATGCAATTGTGTTGAGCAGACTAGTATTGTTGCAAGTTCACACATGCCAAAGACAGTGGCAAGAAACGGAGTCAACAGGTGGGCCACAGAGATAAGATTGGACCCACACTGAAACACACTGAACTTGCTTATGCGAGTAAAATCAGCCAGAAGACAGGGGCCCAACTGCACAACAAGCATCCAAGCTGGGACAAAAGAAGATCAACTGAAGATAAAGCATCTCAGAAGTGGACAAACCCTTCATGAAGAATCCAAGGGATCAGAACTTGTTTCTGCGAGTAAAATTGGGCAGAAGGTCAAGAAGTGTTTTACACAGCCTTCAGCAAGAGAGGTGGGGTCAAAGCAGGCAGACTGAAAAGAGCTTATCAGGAGACGACAGGCCTTCATGAAGAATCCTGGACTTCGGGAGAAGCTGAAGATCAGTTGCAAAAGTGACACCAAATGTCTTGTGTTGAGCTAAAAAGTATGAAACTGACAAATGACCCCATTGTCTTGCTGTCATGTGATAATGATGGATGTGTGACTGGAAAACTTTTACTTTGTCTAGGCTGTCCCAAAAAGAGTATAAAAAGAGCAGCTAGAAGCAGAGCTGACACAACAGTTGGGGCAGTCGACAGTGAGAGGCAGAGCAGATTTGGGATAGTAGAGGTCATCCTCCGTCCTCTGGACGGAGGACGACAGGTCAGTTTTTGGGGAGAGAAGGAGAGAGTCGCACCTAGAGTTAGAGAGTGACAGGTTAGTGTTGACGCAGGTCAACCATTTATTCTCAGGAAGA